TTACATGAGGCCTCCCACATCCTGAATCCTGTTGCTGACTCTTACTCTTCCTGCTGGTATTCTTGCCTGACATTCTCACGTTTTTTAAGAGAACCTCCCAGAAACATCAAGCCAAGTGTCCCCATTTTGATCCTTAGCCATACTCACATCACTCTTTTGCCATGTAATCCAGTAAACACAGGTCTTGGTGATAAAGACAGGTGCATCTTCGAGAAGCCAGTACTGTATAGAAGTAAAGAGCCCCAGCCTACTAAAGTTCCAAATAAACAGGATTCCACCACGCTTTTCGAAGTGTCTCAAACAGCCTTCCACCACCTTCGACCAGACACATTTGGAAAGGTCACTGCCAGATATGTGAGATGACAAAGATTAAGGGTTCCATGCTCTAGAAATTGAACTCCTCCCTAGATTCAGATGTATTACCCCATCTGAAGACTGTTTCTTACAAAGGGTGCTGTCTCAATCCTGGAGCTGGTCTGACTCCACATAGAACCTTGAAGGCTGCATAGCTTTCTCAGAAAAAGAGAAACGTACCAACTGCCTCCGTTGAGTTCTAGACTTGATCAGACAACACAAGAGAAAAGGGAACGGTTCAGCTCACTCCCACCTCAAATCACTCAATACTTTATCGGCAGCCAGGACGGGTCACTCAACCTCTGACTGTTTATCTTGTTTTGCTTCCTTCCCACTCTGATGTTTGTCAGGCTCTGACCAGCTGCCCTGTCCCTCCTCACCGAGCCCACAAACATCAGATCATCCCTGTTTCTTTGTTTTTCCTTTTTTTTTTTTTAACAATTTATATTTTAATGTTGGCAAACCGAATGATTTGGTTTGCCTTTTGAATGCCAGTGCATTCAAGTTCCCTCAGGCAGCTTCTCTCTCTCTCTCTCTCTCTCTCTCTCTCTCTCTCTCTCTCTCTCTCTCTCTCTCTTTTAAATTCTATTTTGAGTTTCATGGAAAAGAAAAAAGGTATTTCTTATTATCCCCAACCCATAATTTTCTTTACTGAACTTTTTGTTTAATTTCCTTTTGCTTTGACATTTTATTTTTCAGACACCTCTCATTGAACCTCACGTTCCTCTCCGTCCTGCTCACACCATTACCAAGGTAATGGGATGTAGGTGGGTTGATGAGCCGTCCAAGCTCCATTCTTACATAGTACTTGAGGTGGTTCCTGTGTCAGGGCTCCTCATGCGCACTTCCTGGAGTCAATAAATACGCAGCGTGGCTTGGTTCCCCACATAAAACAGTGACATGTCACACGAGTGAGCAATGTGTAATACGTATGAGTGAGTTGTGTTTTCCTATCCAGACTCTGATTAGACAGTGGTTTGAGAATTCACTGGGCTTATTTGCCTTCTATAAACTCTCCTTTTCCCCTCTCCTCCCATCTGATTAACACACAGGTCCCTTCAGAGAAGATCCTCAGAGCTGGAAAAATTTTACGAATTGCCATTCTCTCTCGAGCTCCCCACATGATAAGAGACCGAAAGTACCACCTAAAGACATACAGGTATGTCTGCTCACTCTAATGGCTCGGCCCCTCCAATTTACGCTTTATGAAAGTAGAAGAGAGCCCCTTTTATAAGGTTCCCAGGATCCAGCCTAAACCTGGTTTAACCTCAGAATTACAGGCAAGTCACTCCTTAGCTAGTTTGAACAGGCATGAACAAAGAGGAGGACCTGTTGTGTGTGTTTGCCAGCATCATTCAGTGGACCTACTAAGTTCAGCTAACATTCACACAGGCCTTACTTCTGCTCCACTGATTTCTGTATGTGATCCACCACATCCCTGCCAGAAAGGTACGCCTAGGTCTGTGTTCATTTCTCAGATGATAAAACTGACCCTGGGTGAAGAGATTAAATAGTTTCCCTTCAGTAAATCTTACATCTAGTGAGTGCACAAGCAAGATTTAAACTAAGTGGATGATTGCCAAATTCAGAGGGTTTATTTTTTTAAGTCATAGTGTTGCAGGTCCTGATAAGGGAACAAAACACACAAGTCTCTTATGGAATGTGTTTCTAGTAAAGTTTTACTTTAGTTAGATACTTAACCCAGGAAAGGGGGTGTATTCTTGCTGAATCCAGAGGAGGATATTGAGTATCCTGTTCTATCACTGAACCTGGACCTCGATTTGGCATTCAGCAAGCCCTTGGGATGCCCTGCCTCTGCCTGTCACAGTACTGGAGTGACAGGCATGCACCTGGCCACCCCCAGCTTTTTATTCTGGGAATTCAGACTCAAGTCCTCAGGCTCGTGCCATTAGTCACTGTTCCCCAGCCCTGTGTGCTCACTAGCTGACTATTTTCAGAAATTACACCTGTAAGTCTCGTTCTGTGGCCCAGTAAGTTAATCTGACTGGACTCTGTGGCTCACCTACACTTTTACAGTTCTAAGGAGGGTCACGATTTAGAATAAGGCCAAAGAAAACTAAAACATGTGCCACGCGTCCCTGAGTCCAGCCCTTCAGTCCTTTGGCTCTGGCTTTAAATTGACTTCAAGATCTCACATGGCTGAAAAAAATCTTTTTCTTTGAATAATTCAATTATTTTCCTCCCATAAGATGTGAGTAAGGTCCCCCAGCTATTGACTTGTATTAGAGAAATTCCATTAAATATGTCATGCTTGGTGACAAATACTGGAAACTGGAAGTCAGAAACTGAAATCTTCCTTACGCCATCCTGCTGAGATTTAAACCCTGACATGGAGGTGTTATATCTGCCCCACACCCTATGACACAAATTAATGATCTGCTGGTGATGACCAGAGGACTTCACTGGAAGCTCCACCTTCTCTCTCCCTCCTGCTCCTTGTCCTATTATATGATTGCTTCAGTGTCGGAGAGTTGAGGCCCCCCCAGACTCAGTGTTACCCCCAATGACCACTATGCTTCGGGTCGACGGTTAGTTCTGAAGTGTGAGTGTCGTTTAGTGGAAAAGACACCAAGGGCTCTACTGTGTGTCCTGTTATGTATTCTGGCTCCAAAGTCCGATGTCTTTCCTAGAAACTCGACACTCTGAGTCCTTTCTGCTGCTTGGGCTCTCTTCTTTTTCTTTTTCTCTTTTTTAACTTTAAGAGTAATCATTGGATTAAAAGCCAAATAAAATTATTTCTATACTTTTATAAGAAATTTTCCACTAATAAATAACCAAATTGTAAAATAAATACATGTTCATTTTATATGCTTAGTTCAGAGGTATATGGTTAGTTCAGAGTGAAGGTGTAGGTGTTCTCTTCATCCCTTGTTAGGTGATAGATGGGTGTAGACAGACCTCAGCAGCCCTCTCTGGCTTGGGGTCAGCACATCCCAGGAACTCTCATAGATTTTAAAGATTCTAGAATATTGGAACTAGAGAAGGCCTCCAAGTCCCTCACCTGTCCTTCCTTTCTCTTACAGAGAAGAGAACAGAAGCAGAGAGCTGGCCAAAGTCACATAGCTAATGAATAGCAAACTTGCTGTTCTACCTCATAGCTTCTCTGCTTCAAGATATTTTCTCAAGCTGGCCTAGGGCAGGGAACCTACTTCAGTTTATCATAGAATGCTTTAGGTTTGCCTAGTCACTGCTCATTCCCAGAGGTGATCTCATTCTTAGCATACAAAGAGAGGCAACCAGTAAGTCAGGCCCAGCTGCATGCCACCAGCTGCTCTGAGCCTCCCTGCCCTGTTCTACTGTCCCTTGGGATCTGTCCCTAGGACTTCAAGAGTCCACTTTCTCCCTTGTACACACACACACACACACACACACACAAATGGAACACCTACTCTATTTTCTCATCCCATTAAGAGTTTACTAATATGTAAGTGTATAGTTGTGTATTTCCTAACTAACATACATAGTTTGTCTACCTAGACCAACTTTAGGACTAACACATAAATATACAGGGAACACTTGGTGTTGTCAGATGACAGATTCTGTAAATGTACATGTCAAGGCTGATTACACAGAACTTTCTTTGGAGAGATTTGCATTGCTAATTGCTTATTTTTCCTAAAAGCCCTCACACTGAGTTGTTCTGGGACCAGCTCATAGTGATAGACTTAGAAGGAAGGATAATACTTTCCCTCTACCAGCCCATTGAGTAGCCTGGTGCTTTGTGTTATAGTATTTTATTTACATGATCCTGCTTAGAAGAGGTAAGAGCCTAAGGCTATATATCTATAGTGCTTTCCTTGCCTTGGACTCCTCTTATGGTACCACACTCTTGGGAAGGTTCTCCTCTTGAAGATCTCTCTCTCTCTTTCTCTCTCTCTCTCTCTCTCTCTCTCTCTCTCTCTCTCTGAAAAAGTATGGCTTTCTTATCTTCCGTGTCTCATCTCCTTTAGACAATGCTGTGTTGGCACTGAGTTGGTAGACTGGATGATACAGCAGACATCCTGTGTTCACTCCCGGACTCAAGCTGTTGGCATGTGGCAAGTCTTGCTGGAAGATGGTGTCCTCAACCACGGTAAGACGAGCCATAGGCTTTGGAAAATTCTCAAGAAATGCAAAGCATATTTCCCTGGGTAAGCTATTGCTGAATTCCCGAATGGGCAAGAAAGAATTACGATCCCGTTAAAGAACCACCAAGCTAGCATCTTCATTTAGTAATACAAATGCAGCCAGCGGATGCTATTGATTGCTATGTTCCACATTGTACCTTCCTAACTTCCGAGAATGAAGGAAAGGAAAATGAAATTGCAACCGGAGTGCATCAGCTCCAATTATGTTTATTAGTTTGCATTCATGGTTCATTGATAGTGTGATTATACTCCAAGCATTGCATAGCGGTCCTGATGCAGGGGCAGAGTGAGAGAGCAATGAAATGTGTGGCCGGGCTGATGACATGAGAGTCAGTAATGAATTCAGACACTGCCTTTTAACTGTGCCACTGTCTGGGAGAGCCAATTTGTATACCGGCAGGATGACCATATTTAAAATCAGAGCTGTGCTCTGCAATTGCTGTCTCCAGTCACCGAGGCAGCTCTTGCTGAACAGAAGAGCTATCCGGGGGCTGGCGGGCGCCTGTCACTGAACTGCTAACACCACTTGTTTAAGACTACTTTTCTAAACATGAAAATATTCAAATCATCCATTTCACTCTCCGACACCTGGGAACGTGGGAATAATAATTTTGCTTGAGTTTCTCAGACTTTAATGTGCACGCCAATCACCTGGGGCTCTTGTTGAAATGCAGATTCCAACTTTGCGGGTCTGGGACGGAATCTAAGCACATTGTTTTGCAAGAAGTACCCATGTGTTGCTGTTGCCCCTGCCGCCACTGCCGCCCAACACCACTGTTGCCATCTCTGTTTTGGGGATTGGGAAAGGTCTACCAATGTTCTTTGTCTTTTTAACATATTGACAACCCATGCTAGAAAGGGACTAAATGGCGTTCAGACATTTAGACGAGGGGTTCTACCCTAGTTCACCCTCTTTTTCTAACAAAGACCTAGATCTTGTTGTTTGTTGATCACTTGGTTAATATGTGTGAGTTCCTGGGTTTGAGTCCTCAGCTTTGCCAAAAGAAAGGAAGGAGCATTTCTCTGCAAGAAAATGACCAAAATTTTCTTCAAGGAGTCTTCGGCCTAGAAGCATGGTCTAGTT